AAAAAATTGGAAAAGAATTAGAAAAGTTAAAAAGTTTAAGTTAATTTATTGAAGTTAACTCTACTGCAATTATGAGGAATATTAATGCGTGTGCAATATATATTAATTTAACGCTGTGTTGTATAAGAATATCGCGCTAATATAATTACTGCTCTGTGTGGAAAAAGCATTAATTCATAAGCACAAATTAGATGTTAAATTAGATATTAATATATATTACGTATGCATTAATATTCGTCACGATTGCTACGGAACAGTAGTTGGCTTATCGCCGAATAATTTCGTGTTGGAGTTAAAAATAAGGAAGACTGGAGTAGAAAGATATGGTAACACGATACCGGTAACGTGTCGAGAGCTCTCGAAATCTGGATCGCATGTTAAATTGGAGCGGTTAAGTGTAATTTAAATCTCTCGGAAATAAAATCTCTCGTTAAATCCGACAACAAGTGTGATTATGGACATGAACCATGTATAATTGCGCGGTTTTTACTATATGTATAAGTAAAATAATTCATCGGTTCGAGTCGATAGCGTATCTGGCCAAATAAACTCAGCGCCAACCGTTTCAGCACCAACGAAAGGGCATTAACATACGATCTAAATTTGTATCACCTCGGCGCCTTTAATGTCTTTAACCGGATGACTTGGGAACTACGTAGGAACATGTAGGAACAAAGCTCTAAAATTTTCAGATTTGTTTATTTTCTCGAAGAAAATGTAGAAATTTGACCATCGTAGTTATTATATTATATATTAGTTACATAATGAAAAATATTTGTATAAAGTAAAAGACGTTATAGTAAGAAGTTGTTGCAAGTTATATCGTATGAAGGCCACACAATTGTACATTATAATTATTTTGCCATTTTATGATTATTCAATTCAGTTACATGAAAACTAGCGAAATAACGTCTAATAAACGTTAACGTCTAACGTCACATTTGCTGCTGTACTTGACTTTTCGTAATTTTTAATATCGTTTTTATTCTCATAATTTTATTCAAAACTAGTTATGGATATTTATATTTCAGAATTGTCACATTATATTTTTGCTGGAAATATTTAATTTATTTTCTCTTTGCGAGCCATCAGATTTTGATTACAACACATATCGAATTAAAAAAAATTTCTCGCCTCGTATCTTTGTTGTCTTGTTTAACTAACGTTAATATCAACATAATATTTTAGGATTGTTGTCGCAATTTTTTATTTCAATCTATTTTTATTGTGAAATATGTATATTATATTATTTTAAAAGAGATAAATCCATTTATTTTTCTTTTACACTGAGAAAAATGTTTGATCGAATTAATGGGAATTCTGGTTGAAAATGAACGAAATCAAAATTTTCTGCTCAAATCTACTAAAATTTTTAGTTGAAGTAACCGGAATTCTAATCGATATGATGAATCGGAATATTTTGATTTGTCCATTTTCAACCAGTCCACACTTTTCTCAGGTGTCTCTTGTGATTTTCTTTGGATATGGAATACCGCGATATTCGAATAAAAAAAAAAAAGAGAGAGAAAGAGAGACAGAAAGCACATTTTTAATACAAAAAAATCTTTTGATCTTTTACAGTTCTGCGCAAAGCTTTCGATAGTTTCGACAGGGAGAAGAGTGGCAGCATTCCTACCGCTATGGTAGCTGACATCCTACGGCTAATGGGGCAACCGTTCAACAAGAAAATCTTGGAAGAGCTCATCGACGAAGTCGACGCCGACAGTAAATATCATTATCGTATTAATTAACAATGGTGCGACCAAGTTTATTTAAAGATTACCATTACGTAACAATGACTTGTTTATCTCTCTATTTGTGAAGTATTTACAACATTGCACATACGATCGTTGTTCTATACGAGATGTTGTCATACGTACAAATATCACGAGGTTTAATTTACCGTAACGCGCCACAGTAATCTTATTTATAGAATTCGCCAAACACTTTTGCTCGCAGAATCTGGGCGACTTGAATTTGAGGAATTCGTCACATTGGCGGCGAAATTCATCGTTGAGGAGGACGTGGAGGCACTGGAAAAAGAGCTTCGAGAAGCCTTCAGACTCTATGACAAGGAAGGTATGGTAAAACGTTTGCAAAAATAGTTTATCAGAGGTACAACTCGTTGTTTAGCTGGCGATTCTTTTCTGATGAAAACCTAACAATTATCTACAATAATAATGATTGTTCTTTTCTATAAAATTCGTATAAAGTTCGTGGAGAGACACAATCGATATTTAGAGAAAATAATATTATAATAGTCGTAAATTGTAAACAGATAATATTATATTATCAATCATCCATTACAGTTTTAATTTAATATATATATTTTTTTTAATTTTTCGGTAGAACAATTCTGCTTTATAATGGATTTTGGAAAATATATATAAGATAATAATTTAAACATTATACGATCAGCTTATCGACATTATTCGTGCGCACGCGCGCTCACCTTTTATTAAAATTTATTTAAAGATAATCAATTCATCTTGTAAATTGAGAATTATTTTTTCCTCGGCTTTCCTCATTTCTTTCTTTTATATTTAGTTTGTAATATAAAACGATGAATGTTACGAATAGTGGATATTTGATTTCATAAAGAACCAGTTTCGCAGCGAGGAAAGATTTGGCGCGACAAGTGAGATATGCGTCGAGGAAATCTCAAGAATACGTTTATACAAACAGGCGCATTAAGTTCGTATCAGTTATATGCGAATGTAAAAATAAGCCGGCAGCGCGGGGATTCCCGACAGAAAAGTCTCACGTGGCGGCCGAGAGCCAAGAATGTCGCAACACATCTTTCATTTCATGAATTATGTCGATTATGTCGAAAGTGCAACATATGTATTTTAACGTGGCTGACACCAGAGAGAGAGAGAGAGAGAGAGAGAGAGAGAGAGAGAGAGAGAGAGAGAGAGAGAGAGAGAGAGAGAGAAAGAGAGAGAGAGATGTACATATTCCGGAGTGAATAAATTTTGCAATTATCGTTTATGTCAAATAAAGAGAAAGATTATTACGTGCCGAAACAGATTCTTAGAGATACAAAAGTAATAAAAAGAAGTAATTTAGTATTTAGTATCTTAGTTCACCGTTTTCACCGACATAAAAAGAAAAAATATTAATTAATTATATTAATCTAATCGTTTTAAAATACTGCGTGAGTTACACGACAATTATTCCGATCGATCACGTACTCAACTTTTTTTTATTTATTTCTAACAAATCGACGAATCTAATTAAAAAATGTTATTATCTAGAGAAATTATAAAAATAATTTGCCGATCATAATCATGCATTAATTTGAATATTTGGAAAACCATACGAAATTAACGTAACACATTAATATCTAATATCTAATATATATCTCCAGATAATTTTAATTTCAATTTAATTTATTCTCAATTTTTTTTAATCTTCAGGATTAAAAAAAAGATAAAGAATAAATTAAACCGAGATTACAGTTAATTTACATTGATAGAAATAAACATAAATCGATCCAATGTAAAATTGCAAAGGATTAATATTAATATTTGCAGTCTACAATCTAATTTTCAATCGACGATGTATGCCTCGCAGTCGCCTAATACTTTTCCTCCTTTCGTTCTATGGAATCGCAGAAAATTGGGCATCTCGCTACTAATTTAATTTTTTTACTATCATGAATGCGTTAAAGCATAATGTTACTTCATTCCCTGTTTTCTTTTTCCAGGTAACGGCTATATTCCAACGACATGCTTACGTGAAATCTTAAGAGAATTGGATGATCAATTGACGAACGAGGAACTAGACATGATGATTGAAGAAATCGACTCTGATGGCTCCGGTACAGTCGATTTTGACGGTAGGTTTTTAATTTTTTTTTTCTCTCTTTCAATGCAGTATGTAAATCCTAAAACAGTTTGTCAAAATAATTTCTAATGAGAGGAAGCAAATCAATAATTTCAAAGATTTCAAAGAAGTATCATTTTTTTTTTTTATAAGATCAATTTTTCCTTTTTAATATTCTGTCATCTTACTTTCATCTTAATTTCAATCGACAATCATGCACAGTTATGAAATCTATAAAAGGAAAGCTGTTGAATTGATTTATTCCCATGCACTGGAAGAAATAGTTTGGTTAGCTGTAAAAAATTTTGTTTAAAAAGAACTAATCGGAAATTCTGATTAATTCTGATTACTAGATTTCTGTTTAAATTAATCAGAAATCTCTTTTTAAACCGAATTCTGACAACTTCAATTAGAAGAATTTCTGACTCTTTCATTTTTAAATTTTGGTACAACCAAACTATTTTTCCGTGTGAAAAATTAACATGTGTCA